ATTCAACATATCTAAGTTGACTAAATTGTTTTGGTTTGATCTAAGCCATTCGGACCCCAAGTTTAACAATCTAATAGTCATTTCCATATATTTGAATTATTTTGGATACATTCGTACTGTTAGAATTAGCAAATTACGTTATAAAATTTGAAGATTTTATTTGAAGATTAGAAAACCAACTAGTGGCTAACACAAACAATTTCTTTCAAGCCGAGTTTCCAAAACTCAACAAGGAGAACTATGACAATTGAAGTATTCAAATGCAAGTCCTAATAACCTCACAAGATTTGTGGGAGTTAGTGGATTGAGGATATGACAAGCTACTCTCGAAGATAAAGAAAAGTTAAATGAAACTCAGACGTCATTAAAAACTTTAAGGAAGACAGATAAAAAGACCTTGTATGTACCCTATCAAGGCATTGATGAATCAAGCCTTGAGAATATTTCAGCTGCAACTACCTCTAAACAGAACATTGACTATTATTAATCAGAGTTTGACTTCAGGTGTTATAGGGTGAATTCGAGATGTTGCACATGAATGACAATTAGTCAATTTTTGAGTACTTCAACAGAACATTAACTATTGTTAATCAAATCAAAAGATATGGAGAGAAGATAGAATTTCTTCAAGTGATAGAGAATATTCTATGATCACTTAGTCCAAAGTTTGAGCACGTGATTGTAGCAACAGAAGAGTCCAAGGATCTTAGTACTATGAGCACCGATGAGTTGATAGGGACACTAGAGATCCATGTACAAAGAATCAACAAGAAGACTCTCTCAAGTTCTCTAGAGCAACCTCTTTAATCAAAGTTGTCATTCATAAATGACAAAAATGAGCAAGGGGGGACATCACAAAGAGACCGAAGAAGAGGTCGTAGTTACAATAACCGAAGTTCTATTTTTCGAGGAAGAGGCAGAAGAAGCCCAACCAAATGAGGAGGAAGTCAACCATACTTTGCTCCAAGAGGAAGATGAGGTGGTTTCAACAACTGACCAAGAATTGATAAGAGCAATGTTCACTGCTACCATTGCCACAAGTTCAGGCATTATAGCAATGAATGCCAAAGTAGAGCAACAACAGAAGTCAGAGAGCACGTAAATTTTGCCGAGCAAGAAACAAACAAAGACGGATCTACAGTCCTGTTTGTCTATCGTAGAGATACTGAAAACCAAAACAATATTTGGTATCTAGATTCCAGAGCCAGTAACCACATGTGTAGTAAAAGAGAGTTGTTTGCCGAGCTTGATGAGACTGTACAAGCACAAGTCTCATTTGGTGATTCCTCAAAGACTTCAATGAAAGGAAGAGGCAACATTCTGATCAAGCTCAAGAATGAAGATCATGATTACATCTTTAATGTCTATTATGCTCCTGCAATGAAGAACAATATTTTGAGTATGGAACAACTCCTAGAGAAAGGATACGATATTAGCATGAAAGATTGTCATCTTACCATCAAAGACAATCATGGTAAATTGATCGCCCAGGTGAGAATGTCCAAGAATCGGATGTTTGCTTTGAACATCCAACATGATGCTGCGAAGTGTTTAGATGTCATCATCAAAGACAAAGACTGACTATGGCATTTGAGGTTTGGACATCTCAACTTTGAAAGCTTGGAGCTATTGTCAAGCAAGAATTTGGTGAAAAGGCTCCCTGATATCGCTCATACTAATAAAGTTTGTGAAGGCTGCATTCTTGGCAAGCATCACAAAGAAGGCTTTGCCAAATAAGTGAATTGGAGAGTGTCAAAGCCGTTGCAGCTAGTATACATCGATGTGTGTGGTCCATTAAATCCAATGCCAAATGGACAGAATAGATACTTCCTCACATTTATTGATGACTACAGTAGGAAAGCATGGGTGTACTTCCTCAAAAACAAGTTGGAGGTATTCAACTTCTTCAAAGATTTCAAAGTTTTTGTTGAGAAACAAAGTGGTTACTATATTAAGATATTGTGATCATATCAAGGTGGAGAGTATACATCAAATGAATTCGAGAATTATTGCAAAGAACATGGAATCAAGCATCAAACAACACCATCCTATACGCCACAACTGAATGATATTGCTGAAAGGAAGAATCTCATAATCTTAGATATGGCAAGAAGCATGTTAAAAGAAAAAGGATAGCCCAAGCAATTTTGGTTGAAGTCGTATCATGTGTTGTGTATCTACTAAATAGATGCCTAACCAGGAGACTTCGTTCTATGACTCCAGAAAATGCTTGGATTTCACACAAGCCAAGTGTCAACCATCTCAGAGTATTTGGGTGTATTGCATACACCAAGATTCCAAAAGCAAGAAGAACCAAGTTTGATGATAAGGGAGAAAAATATATCCTTGTCGGACACGGCGATAGAACAATGGGATACAAGTTGTATGATCCTATTACCAAAAAGGTGATCATGAGTGGAGATGTGATATTTGAAGAAGAAGAAGCTTGGAACTGGAATTAAGATGGAGTTGTTGAAGGTGTAGAACTCACTCTTGAATATAAAACATCAAAAGCTGCAGTTGAAATCACAAGAGAAGTCCCAAATGAGCCACAAACTCCTATAGGTGGAACCCCCACATCATATATTAGAGGTACTTCGTCATCATCATCTCATAGAATTGGCACGCCATCATCATCATTGTCATCATCAGATGATAGTTTTTTTTAGAAGACACAAGGGAATAAAGAGTTTAAGGGACATGTGTGAAGCCATAGAAGAAGATCTAAATATGTTCTGCCTACTCGCAGATAGTGATCTACTTACTTTCTCAGAAACCATCCAAAAAGATAAATGGAAGAAAGCAATGGATGAAGAAATTCATACCATCGAGAAAATGATACATGGAAGCTCACCAGTCTACCGGAGGGCCACAAAGCCATTGGAGTGAAATAAATATACAAGACAAAGAAGAATGTACAAGGCGAAGTGAATTGCTACAAGGTTAGTGGCAAAAGGCTACAAGCAGAGAGCTAGAATTGATTATGGAGAGGTATTCGCTCCAGTTTCTTAGTTGGAGACTATCAGGCTAATGATTTCTTTGGCTGCCCAGCACAAGTGGTAGATTTATCAACTTGATGTGAAATCTGCATTTCTTAATGGTTTTCTTGAAGAAGAAATCTCTATTGAACAACCTTCGGGGTATGTTCAAAAATGGCATAAAGACAAAGTGTACAAGTTGAAGAATGCACTTTATGGTTTGAAGCAAGATCCGCGTGCATAGAATACTAGTATTGATCAGTATTTTCATGACAATTTAAAAAATGCCCATATGAGCATGCGCTAAATTTAAAGAAGGAAGCTGATGGAAACATGTTACTTGCTTGTCTTTATGTTGATGATCTAATTTTCACTGGCCACAACCCAACCATGTTCAAAGAATTTAAAATGAGCATAGTTCAAGAATTTGAAATGACAGGTTTTAGATGGATGTTTGATTTTCTTCGTATTGAAGGGGTACAAAGAGAAGATGAAATTTTTATTTTTCAAAGAGTCTACGCCAAGGTGATTCTCAAGAGATATGGAATGGAGAATTGCAATCCAATGAACACTCATGTAGACAGTGGAGTGGAACTCGGAAAAGGTACAAAGGATGGTGATGTAGATCCAACTTATTTTAAAAGCTTAGTTGAAAGCCTTCATTATCTTACTTGCACCAGGTCAGACATACTCTATGAAGTAGGACTGATTAGCAGATATATGAAAACACCAGATCAATCACCCCTTTATGTAGCAACGAGGATTCTTCGCTACATCAAAAGTATAATCGATGATGGTTTATTCTATAAATCAACTAATAATTTCAGTCTTGCAGCTATTCAGATAGCGACTAGGGACGCGACTTAGATGAACGAACGAGTACTACTGGATTTGTTGTCTTTATGGGAAATACAATGTTTACATGGTCATCCAAGAAGCAAGCTATTGTGACACTATCAACTTATGAAGCTGAGTATGTTGTAGCCAACTCAACTGTGTGCCGTGCAATTAGGTTAAGAAATGTGCTGAAGCATTTGGGATTTCCTCAAGAAAATCCTACTAAGATCTATGTTGATAATTGCCCAGCAATTGCAATAGCAAAGAACCCAGTTTATCATGAAAGAAGTAAGCATATTGACACCCGCTATCATTTCATCCGAAAACATGTGAAAAAGAAAGAGGTGGAGTTATTTCCTTGTAAGTCTCAAGATCAACTTGCAGATATTTTCACGAAGAAATTGAAAAATGATCTGATCAATAGAATGAAGATGATACTCGGGATGAAGCAGAATGGAGAATCAAGATTAAGGGGGGATGTTGTGAAGTAATCTTGTTTCACCACCAACCTAATTGAGAGTTTTTCTTTTCTATCGGCCTAGCTAATAGTAAGAGCGTGGAAGCAAAAATCACTACAACAAAAAACACATTTGGCGACCAAAAAATTTGTCGCCAAAAGTACAAATTCCGTCGTTAAAAGAATCGGCGACAAATATACTACTTGTCGCCAAAGGCCTGTCACTAAAAGTATTGGCGACGAAATCAGAAATTGTCACCATATGTAGACATTTAGCGACAAGAAAAATTGGTCGCCAAAAATCATATATTTTGTCGCTATAAAATTACAATTTGTTGCTAAAAGATTAAAATTTGGATAGGCTATGTAGTTTTAGTGACAAATAAATGCGTAGCCAAAAGTACTATTTAACGACAAAATTAATTTGGTCGCTAAAAATCATGTTTTTAGCGACGAGTAAGTTTTGGTTGCTAAAAGTACTTGGAATAACCACTAACTTTTAGCGACAAAACAATATGTTGTCGCCAAATATATTAACAGCGACCAAAATACAACCTGTCACTAAAAATTCAGTACACAAATTTTGATTTTAATAATTTTCCTGTTCAAAATAATCCAAAACACCTGTTTTCCTGTGCACAATATATACACAAATGTAATGTAAATAATAATACACCTGTGCAAGACATTCATACTAATTCAAAATTAATAGCTATGAAAAATCCCCATAAACATAATTACAATTCTCTAACAATTTAAAACATGCATACCAAAGTACTTACAAACTACTAACATCAAACCCATAAATACATTACCAAATCTTATGTCAAAATATTTTCAAAATTACAACCAAATATTTTGATGTTAAACATCTAACCAACAAGTCATTTACTAAAATCATATGTCAAAATATTTGCAAAAACACAACACCAAATATTTTGATGCTAAACATTTAATCCATAAATCATTTACCAAAATCCTATGTCAAAATATTTCCAAAAACACAAAATCAAATCTTCTGATGCAGCCCAAACTATTTTCCACCATTGCCAATCTGTCACATGAAAAAAGAAAAAACAATATTAGATTGACAAAAAAAAAAAAACCTCGATATGAACTTCACAATTTTGATTTTAATTTTGTAACGGGAAGTCCAATCAGATGCTGTTTGCTCATACAACTCTATTTAGGCTTGAACAAGCTACCCGTGCCAAGTTTCAGTGGTTTTATTGGTCATTTTGCAATTTTGGCCCTCGATGCCTTTTAAGTCTTGTGTTTTACATTTTTTCTTCTAATTTTCTAACCGGAAATCCAATTGAGGTCCTGTTTGTTCCTACAAGTCTACTTAGGCTTGAACAAGCTGTCCGTGCTAAGTTTCGGTGGTTTCGATAGTCATTTGGAAATTTCGGCCCCGGAACGGGCCTTTTAAGTCTTGTGTTTTACATTTTTTCTTCTAATTTTTTAACCGGAAATCCAATCGAGGTCCCGTTTGTTCCTACAAGTCTATTTAGGCTTGAAAAATCCGTCCATGCCAAGTTTTGGTGGTTCCCGTGGTCATTAAGCAATTTCGGCTCCCGAACGGGCCTTTTAAGTCTTGTGTTTTACAATTTTCCTTCTAATTTTCTAACCGGAGATCCAATCACAACTAGGAAGACTCATAGTATGATCCAACCACTTCTTCTGTGTTTCAATTTTTAAAACCATGACATTGATTTTTCAGAGCCATGGATATAAATCAATCAATTATGATGAGAAATGGTAAAGATAATAGTAAATACTACTATTGTATTGACATACTGGCAATTTCAGAAGCTTGGTCCTCTGTCAACTTGGCTGCAAAGCCTTTGAAACCATGTCTGTAACTGTAGACATGAGATGCCCTGGCTTGTTCAACACTGTGTCACCAATTTAATAATTCAATCAGCATAACCAAGCAATCCTCAATAAGAACAAGAAGAGAAACACAACAATAACATCAAACCAAAAACAAAACAAAAAAAAGGAGTGTGAAAACATGGTGGTGTACAGTTGAAAAAAAATAAAAGAAAGAGAAAAAAGGAACATTGGGTGGACCTTCCACCATGAAAATCAGTGAGGAATTGGTGGTTTTGCATCAAAATCTCATCTGGGTCATGACCGTCTCTGCTTCCCATATAGACCACATAGACCTACGCACAAGACAAAGCTTGACCCAGTAACATAAATCCGAAAACAAAAAAACAAAAACAAAGAAGTTGAGTGAAAATATCATATCTATATCCACACCTTAGCAGAATAACAGAGGCCAACTTGGGCAAGGAAAGCACAAAGGAAAAGAAAAGGAATACCAATATTAGTAATAGTGGTGTTTCTGGATGAAGCCATTCCAAGCACTGAAATGATTCTTCTTCAGTTGGAGTGGAACTTGCAAAAGCTGAATTATATCAGTTGGTTTCAATGGTTGACAATGGATGCCTGAGTTCTTCGTTATCGGTAAAAAAGATATTAGATGCTCGAGCTCAAAATATTCGGAAAAGAATCCAATGGGAGGCACAGGATGTTCACTGGAAAGCTCCTTCACATCATCTGAGAGCTTGAGGCAAAAGGAAGAGAAGAAATCCAAGCATGAGAGTGGAGGAGATGCCAATTCGGTTGTACTGTCACTAACGGATATGGATCCAAGGCCGAAGGAAAAGGGTGTACCAAGCAATCAAATAAACGGAAGGAAGAGAAGTGAGAGCACCATTTCTGATGGTGATTGGGCAGAACAACCATCTGGTAAACACACACACAAAACTGGTGACCAATTGACAAGGTTTGGATTAATGGAGACCTTTGATCTGAACATCCAATATCTGACCGACTTTGATTCAGGTCCAAAAGCAATAAACTTGAACTGAAAAGGTAATAATTCAAATGGCATTCAGTGCTTTGAGGCATTGATATCAGATGAGATTAAGTAATATATACAAATATAATGCATTGCTTATATTTGCTTATAAAAAATTATGTATATTGTCGTGTATGGACCCCAAGTCACTTCCCAAAAGTATATCCATATTGAAAGGTAATAATATACTTGTGTACTCTCCCCCTGAGACACACAAACTCACCCCTGTATTCCATTTTGGAATAGCCAAGTCTCTGAGAAATTATTCTTGAATCTGATAAAGTTCATTGATTAAACAATATTGCAAGAAAAAATCAATTAAATACCCAACAAGAAACAACGAATCATTAGCTAAAACATGTGCCTGGTGGGCATAATTACATAGCTAACTGAGAGAATAATTGTATAATCCACACAGCTTAACAAATAATATGTTCCTCTGTAAAAGCCATTGCAATAGAAACAGCAGATACATGAACCATATGTTGTTATTCTTTGATATAGCATTTATAGTTGTAGGCTTTGAATATTGTCGGAAAATACGTACTTGCATGACTTCTGATGTAAAGTCTCAAGGAGGGAAGCTGTCAGCAGCAGAGCACCCAAGCACTGTTCAACGGATGGATACTAGGTGCTTCTAGTAGGAAAAATAAATTCTCCTTTTGAATCAGTGATTGATTTTCGACCAATGAAATTCATCAGTTGCACGATGATTCGTGTGCAAGGATTGTACTATGAAAGAAACAGAGGAAGAATGCTAGGAGGATCCACCCTAGTGTTGGCTCTATGCTAGCTAATGAAGTTTATGGTGAGAGAAGTGGTGCTATCAAAGTCTAGGTAGTTTTTACACCATAATCGACCTTGAAGTCTAGACACCAAAAGATGGCCTCCCCAAGACAAGACTCTGTTATCTTTCTCATGGTTTCAGTTAGGAACATTTGAAGTGTGTAGTGTTAGAATTTCACGTGTTGCGAATCCAATTGCTTTTTATTTGGAAAACCAAATTTGTTGTTTCGTTCGATAAGGTGCATATCACTTAGATTTCATGATGAAAAAAGAGTTAACAATATAAAAATAGCCTAGTCTGCTCTCATACAAGGCGTTGCTCAACCCTATTTGTAAAATCTCTGTATAGATAATACTATGATATCAATTATGCATATAGGTTCATTCTTCAACCTTTGCATAAAATTAGATCTACCAAATCAGCAGTCCTAGACTGAGTGAAAAAATGTGAAAGTTCACTGGAAGAATTTGGAAGAAGAGACATCTCAGCTGTATTTTGTGGCCATAAATCCGAAAAGTCTTCATAAATATGAGAATGTTCAGCCATAGTAAAGGCAAGAAAGGAAATGCATAGATAGTTCTTGGCTGCACCAATTCTTGAAGCATAGCACCTTTTACGAAATGGCTACAAGGCTTTTTCAATAAATTCAAGCCATCCACAAATTATTCAATAGTATCATAGAGTTCTAAACCATTTCTCACATTCATCATCAAGCAACACTCCCATTCCCAAACTGAGACCAACCATTGTAGCATAAAAATTATTATTCAAAGTAAGACGAGACCACACCACTCATGTTATTATTAGTGCTTCTATTAATTGATATAGTTGAGAAGTAATGTGATATACATCATGAATGACATTTTGCAGTCCAATGCTTCACGAGGAGGCATTAATTGAATCCTCCAAGCAACAATCAAAACTTCCAAGTCCTAAGGGGCTGCAAATAGACTCAAACCAGCCCTTACCCAGGCCCGCCCGTCCTTATGGCCTTGGCCACAAACCCACCAAGTAGAGTCCTCCAAACTGCTGCTATTGCATTCTAAATGATTTCAAGATCAGGGTTGAGGCACAAATCCAACCTTCAAGTCCCAATGCAATTGGGATAACCATTGAACGAAACAAACACATTGGAAGCCCTTCAGTGAAATTTGAATTACTAAGCAAACAGTTCGTTGGATGTACAAAGTAAAAAACACTTTGTCAAGTAGTTTGATTCAATGACTCCCTCTAGCTGACCCAACACGTCCAATGAAAAGGACTTGAGAACTTTTATCATGGCAATATTGCAACCGCTTCAGTAGTTCACAATGATTACATTAAAGGGCTAGTGGTTGAGGGATTGACAAAGTAGTAATTAATTAGATGCTCAACGCTACTGAGCCATTATGAGTCACATACTCGAGTCTTATTTGTCAACTATATATTTTAATTAGAAAATTAAAGAATCACTATCACATCACTTTTTCTATTTTTTTATATATGTTTTCATAAAAAATTAAATATTAAAATAACATATTCTCAAGCCAAATCAAATCTAACAAAATAAAATCAAATCTGACAAGAAGGGGTCTAACCCTCCATTTCATGATCGGATCCAGGAGGAGGACTCGATGATGAGTCATTAGAATCACTAGTACGTGTCTGATTTGATTCCTCATTCCTATCTCTGTTGAATGAAAAATTCACCCAAATCTCTCTCCTCCTCATTTCTCTGTCATCACCATCACCAACACTCTTGTTGATCACCTCTTCGTGATCCACAGGCATCTTAAACCTACAAACAGGGCAAGACCCATGAATCCCCAACCACTTCTCTATTATATTTAATTAATTAATAAAATTGGGACAGAAGTGGGGAAAGTGAGGTGGAAGAAACAAATCTCATTCCCTCCCCGTTCTATTATTGGGATAGGGGATATAAGGTTGAGACAGGAGTAGAGCAAGACAAATTGACATCCCTAATCTATATCACAACTAGGGAGACTCATAGTATGATAGAGAGAGTTTAATACCAAAACAAAAAAAAAAGTGTTTCGAGTGAAGCCCTCTATGATTGACTGGCAAATAATTGGGAGCCTGCATGTGTTTTAGGACACAAAATGCCATCTGCATAGTACAGAAAATACAGCCATTCATCTAATCTATGTGGATCATGATTGGAATAGATTCTGCATAAGGAAACATGTAAAATTTAATAGACAGAAAAGTGAGTAGAAGTGACTTTGGTCCAAAAAGCAAAAGGAGATTATTTAAATTGAGCATCTGCAAACAGAACAAGCTAGAGAAAGTGAGAAACTGATATAATCATACAAGTATTACCAAGGTTCATTTGGACCTAGCTAGCAAAATAATTAAGCAACTGAATCAAAAGGTTATTAGTCTGAACAAAAAGTCTTTAGGCAAGGTTCCAGGCTAAGATATGGTAGTCTGTAACCAATCAAAGAAATCTGTAAATTAAATGTATTAAGAATATTAAATTTTACATCTCAAACTTTGCATTCTGGTGCTTTAATAACCTAAGACTTTTGCTAATGCACCAATTAATGGCCTTTAATGTAAGGTTATTATCATTTGGTGCAACAAAAGGATACCCTTTCACAGCATCACCACAAACATAGTATGCTTTCGAAATACGCAATTATTATCTATACAAACAGAACTAATCAGAAAAGTGGATTTAAACTCTTTTATATACATAAAATTTGATCACAGAATAAGGCACAACTCACATATGGGGTGAGACTTACACATTTGATAGGTCTCACTGTGCACTTTGAATTTTTTATTAAAATTTAAATAGACAATGTTTAGTTAAAATATATATAGTGTTTGGTGCAATTTATTGCATACTAAAAATAATAAAAAAAAAAGTCAAAAGGCTGAAGAACAAAACAAGAGAGAACATACAACAAAAACAAGGCTGTGCCAATTGGTGAGAAACTAATAAACAACACACAAATGACACAAAAAGAAGGACAAGAAGAACAAAACACCCCAACTGCTACTGCTCACCCAATTCAGCAAACAAGAAAATGCAACAACCAACTAAAACCATGAAAGCAAAATCAACAACCCAGCAGTAGCAGCCTAAGAGCACAGCAAATTGCCCTGCAACCAAAGAGCACAACAGCAACCAGCTCACCCAATTTAACAAACAAGCAGTAGCAGCCTAAGAGCACAGCAAAATTGCCATGCAACCTAAGAGCACAACAGCAACAGCAATGTATAGCAGAGCCACGCCAGCAGAACATCCAGCAGACATCCATAACCAATCGACAGAACATCCATAACCAAGAAACTAAGAATGACCTATAAACTGCTATACTACAAACTTACTAAAAATCTTACCAAAAATATAATAGGCCAAATGTGATTGGTTGTTAAAAAATTAATGATATTAATCATCCAATGATATTTGAACATATATGTTTTTAGTAATATTGTTAGCAAGACTTTAAATAGACGTAGCATTGCTCTTAAACTATTCTTACCTAATAAACTATAAACAGAAACTACACAAAACAGTTTAAATTGACTCTGAAAATAATAAATAACTATAAACAACTCATATAAACCATACAAAATAGTCCCATAATGTGGCATGAACCACATATAAACTGAAGGGTAATTTACAGTTTGCCCTTTTATATTTGGCCATTTTTCCACTTTCACCTTTCATATTTCATGTTTTTCTCAATTTATTCCAAAAGGTAATTCATGTCCAAAATTAGATACACGAAGCTGCTGTAGAACAAGCTACAGATCAGATGAAGAACAGACCAGCAGCATGCAAACTCAGAGTATATCAAAGCATATCAATAACAGACCAGCAGCATGAAAACTCAGATGAGAACCAACCCAAAACAAGCACAGAAAGGGACTATACACTAGCAGACCAGAACAAGCACAGCTAGGGACTATACACTAGCACAAACCAGAAACAGACCAGAACAAGCACAGATAGAGACTATACACTAGCAGCATGCAAACTCAGAACAAAACCAGCCCAGATTAACCACCCATAGAGCAGATATACAAAACCAGCCCAGATTAACCATCCATAGCCCAGATTAACCATTCACCAGCCATAGAGCAAATGTACAAATAAAAAACAGACTAGAACAGATTAAACTTCACTATCAAAATGGAACAGATCAGCAGTAGCTCACTGGAATCCCCAATCACTGAACCCCTAAGTCTAAACCAAATCATTAAACTTCACTGAGCACCCTTTTGTGTGTTAACCTATGCGGACCTAAGAGATGCTAGATTGCAATTGTAGCTCACTTTTTGTCTACCCTTCATTGAGACAATGCCTAATAGCTGAGATGTTGTAGAGGAAGTCATTGATCGAGAAGTGGAGCTTCGTGGATTGGGGATCAAACCCATATAATAATATATTTTTTACTCAAACCCATATAATTATATATTTTTTATAACATGAGGTAGGTAACATGCATTTTCTATCTAATTTTGAACAAAAGTTAGTTTCAGGAGTAAATTAGAAAAAAACTTGAAACATGAATGATCAAAATAAAAAAATGACTAAAAATGAAGGGGCAGAGTGCAATTTATCCTAAAAGAATTGGATCCAAATATATATTGAGTAGGTATCTATATTACTGGTTTGAAATATAGAGAGGTCCTACATAGTATCCTTGTGATCCATATCTCAATCAGGAATTTTGAACAAAGTTGCAACTAAGATTCTCTTTATTACCTTATGGGATTGGTTATGGACTTCCTTTTATCAAAGTGTGTGATTTTAACTTTGTCGTCACACACTCACACAGAGACTTTACAAAAAGATAACTGATTATTTCTCTTTTCTTTTTAGGCCTGTTTGGGACTTATATTTTGGCTAAATAGTCAATAGAAAAAAATAGTTAATAAAACAAAATGTCATGTCCTATACATAAATCAACAACTTTTTCTTTTACAATTATCTATTCACCTACAAAAAAAAAAAATCCCACAAATCATCCAAAACATAATTCTTTTTCATTTCATAAAAAAATTAAAAAATCAACTAAAATAGTCAAGTTGCTAAATGACGTATCTAGTCCCATTTTTTTGACAACTAGACTTATTAAATTTAATAAGGTTATATAGTTTCAAGATCATAGGTGTAGAAACTAAAATGACTAACTTGATAAATAAATTAAAAATGCCCTAAAATATAGTCAAAGCTTACTTGATGTAGTAATTGCCCCTAACGAATGATTGCAGCTTTTTTATCTCTTTGCATTAGCCAATAACCTATAACATTTGAATTTTAAATCAAAGTTTAAATTAAAATCACAGTATACATGAAATTAATGGAGAGTGGACATGAAATGAATGTTATATGATGAAATTATTAAAAGGGTCACCGATACACAAAATATCTATAATTTTATTAGGAGCTTTAGAATAAGAGGGTTGGTCGAATTAATTTGTCCAATTCGTATCAAATTTAACCCCAAAGACTAAAACTTGTAAATTTGAGTTATTTTAAATGCCCAACGCATTTTAACCCATCAGAACTCATACATTAGAACCTCTAATCTGTCAAACTTGCTAATTTCAAATTACACACTTCATCTTACCAATGCCTTTGTGATGTTCACACAGAAAATGAACTGATAAACTAATAATGAGGAATGAGCTGATAAAAAAAGGCATGCCCCTGAATACCAAGTTAATTCTTTCATCATAAAAGATAAAACAATGAAAAAACACATGGAACAAGAGCAAATCATGTCCATCAATCACACAATAATCATAGAAAATAAAAATTTGTACAAAGTTTTAACAGACTTTGGCATTAAAAAATCTTTCAGAAACTAAAAATTATGGAAAATTTTAAATCAAGATGCACACAGTTTTTTTTTTTTTTTTTTGAACAAAGATGCACACAGTTTGACTATCAAGATTTTGCCACATAATATGCAGGACGTTTTCTTTTGCTTCCCCTCCAAGAAGAGGCTTAAATACAAATGGAAAGTCTTATTCAATTCTTTTGTTTTCTATGTCATACTACTTTTTTTATTCCAACAGATATATCCATGAAGATTGCAAGCAGTCAAGGTCAAACTTTGAGCAGACTCACAAGGCTTATCACATAGTATGCAAATCCTACAATGAGCATGGGAGAGGCCTTGATGCTATCACCATATCATGCAGTCCAAATGCAAAACAGAAAACTGGGTAGCTGATAAAAATGTCAATTGTAGTCCAATGAAACAACTAAAGGCACCGAATATATATTCAGTTCAAAAAAATGAAAGCAGACTAGAATAGAATAGAATACAACAAAGGAAACTCATTCTAAGCTTTTACACAGGCTACAAAAGAATAACAGCAATTTCAGATTCAGACAACACTCATTCTAACGGCAAGAAAAAAAATAGTAATTTCAGATTCAGACTACACAGCAAAAAAATAAGCTTTTTGTAGACGTCCCTGAACGCCCCGGGGAGGAACGAGTCCCCCCGTTCCGTTCGATATTGGGCTCACTACAGCTCAGGACTCTCAAATTGTCACGGTTCGTAATCTGAACCAAAGAGTCCAAATCCGGCAAATCGTTTTGAGAAAACAGATTTTGAAAGAAGTGCCAAACATGGACTGCTTTGTCAGATACAGAGTCGCCACCTAAATGT